CTGGACATAGTTGGTTAAGTGCCATCGCAATTTTTGGCTCAGGAGAGAAAAAAACAGCTACGGCGGTATGTGCTGATACTCCCTGCCAAAGATGAGCTCCAGCATCTTCCAAAAGATGGATTATGTGTGGCACTGTTAAAATATGTACTGCTGGGTTAAACCCATTGTATTTGGTTTGAGTTCTGCTCCTGTATTTCCATCTGAATTTTGATAGCCGTAACATACGGCTGGTTTTCCGTGAGTGCTGTATCACCAGCGAGGAGGAAGGCAGGTGAGGACGTTTAGGTTAGCATTCCCAAGGTCTGTCTAGCTGTTGGAGAAGCCACCAGTCATCTGTATCTCAGGTTTTCCATCTATGAAATGGGAATGGTGATGGTATCCCATATCAGTGTTCAGAGGATTAGCTAAGAAAATATGTACACTGCTTTGTGATTCCTACGTGGCAGGTGACATATAGCTGGCTAAAGAATGATAATCATTACATCTAGGTAGCTGGACATATCTGCTGGTCTAAACAGCCAACATCTTTTTAGACTTCTCTTCAATCAGTGGTGATGACGACGTAGCTTTGGAAAAAAACAGTTTATATTAAAATTGGTAGTGAAAATGTTTCCCAGGCTAGTTTATAATCTCTTAAGTGTAGTGACATGGAGAAATGCTTAGGCTGTAAGAAGGAATGTATGGCATGGCTGATTAGTCACTGCAGAGCCTCTGCAGCCTGCCCAGGCTCCTCGGGATAATGGTGAACCAGGAATCCCAAGCAGCTCTCTAATCCAGGTGCTGATTGACAAGGTCGGCACATCAGAAGAAAAAAGAAAGGGGGGGGGCGGAATGGGGAAAGACAGAAGCAATGTGTTGGATCAAGAAGTTAAAATGGTAAGAGCATTTGGCTGAGCAGTGTTTCTCCTTCGGATAATTGCCCGCACGGCGTTGCAGTGTTTACACCTGCGTGATAGATGGGGCCGAACATGTTTTCTCAGCTATGGGTGGTAGCAGGGAGGGGATATTTCAATTAAAGTGTGAATAAATTAGAACTGATTACAAATAGAGCTATTTGTTTATGCTGCCTAAAAAGGTATTAGCTGTGAACAAGGTGCACTTAATCATTACAGAAGGAAGCCTGAAAGTTAATAAAACACACTGCTGATCCTTACAGAGGGGTGCCAGCTTTGGGTTAAATCTGCAGCTATTTTAGTTTTCAAGCCCCAACTGTCATTTTAAAGGCATATGCGTTTTGGATTTTAACACGTTCGAATGATGCAGCTGAGGCCCAGGCCAAGCCGACCCTAAAATTGGCAGTAAAATGTTACCTCCGTGCAAGCATGCAGAATGAAGGAATACAGGAATATGAGCAATAAGCATGTGCCCCCCTCTCCCCAGCAGTCTTCTAACATGGAAGCCAGGAGCTTTCTGGAAATAAATACCCTCCGAGCAAAGCAGAGGACTCCTCTCAAAGCTTTCCTACAGTAAATGCTTGGGAAGATTAACGGCCAGCAGTAAAGGAAAGTGCCAGAAGGAGTGTGACACCGAAGCAGCACAGTAAGGAAGAAGTGCCCGGCCGGCTGCCCACATGGTGCCCCGCGGTGCTGGTCTTCGCTGCAATTCCTCATCTGCAAGTGGAGCCTGAAAAACCTCCGTAGCCCGGTAAAACCAGAGCGTCTGGATAGGCAGGTAATGCAGAGCTGTCCCCACAAGCTGAGAGCTCCAGGTTTGCAGAAACCACAGCAATGCAAGCTGGAAGACTGTAACAAATTTCCCTGCCATCTTCAGATGTTACCAGCTAATGGAAATAAGTAGTTCTGAAAACAGATATAACCCCCATTGCCAGGGGAGAAGAGGAGGAGGCTCTGGAAGAACCTCTTCTACACACTTGACTATTTTCTCTGTAACTTAAGGCCCCACCGCCAGTTGTGAGCGGGGTTATAGTACTTCATTGCCTCCCTGAGGTCTTGTTGATTAGTCAGTGAAGATGGTGGGGAAATCAAGCCCGTCGTTGATGCAATACTGGTATTTGCATAGATGCCAGATTGGTACTTAATGTACAAGTGTCTTGCTCTAGCTGAGAGCGTGTTCCTGGATGTCTGCGCCAGCTCCGATTTCTCTCCTGGAGAAGTGAAGGAGAAATTTCAAGTCCAGCAAAGATTTAACTCCTATATCTACCTTTAAGCATAGAGATTATCTCACTGACTTCACTGTAAGTATTTCAAGTCAGAGTTAAGGGAAGTGCAGAGATGCTTTCAGGTGAGACACGTATGCTTCCAATATGGAAAAATATGCCAATCATACATGAGCAATTTTGCTCCCCGACAAAACACCGGCAAAGCTCAAACCTCCTGCTGTGTGCATGGTTCCTATGGGGCTGAATGGGAAGGAGCCTGAAACTGAGGGTTGCCCTGATGCCTTCTGTCCCCGCCATGGCCTGTGGGCTGAGCTTCATTCACCAGGTGACATTTTTGTGGCCAAGGTCTCCTCCGAATGCTGCCTGGAAGTCTGAGAAAAACATGAAATGATCTCTGCTGCAGACTCGACTCTGAAGTACTATTTGGTACACGTAAATGATTTCCTCTGTAAGCAATGCTTCAAATTACAAAGCTATGCTTGCAGCTTGACAGAGATGTTTATGTATTTGTGGCTGGCTACATGTGTTGTGTGAAAGGCGTTTCTGAATTCGTATTTAAACATACTGGGCTATCTTCTGTCTTTCAGCTAAGGCAGGGTGTCCCCGTTGCTTTGCGTGCTACCCATGAACTAGTCGGAGTAAAATTAGCATCTTGTGTGTAAGGATTTCAAACACATGCTTCATGCTGGAGTGGTTGCTAAGGGGGATTAAACTGGAAATCAGTCCCTTAGCACTGTGCTCAAAGATTGTGTCGAGTCACCTTAAAACATTTGGGTTGAAATTGCAGAGAAATTTGTTCATGAGAAGCTCTGGTGCAATTCATTCACTGCAGCAGCTCTCGATGGGTATTGCTTTACTCTGGGTCTGCTCCTGTTGTATTTGTGGGTTGTCCCTGAAGTGAGTGGAAATTTTGTGCCCATTCATCAAGGTTAGGATGAGGCTCTCTGTGTACGTATGTTGTAGATAAATTGCTTGATGACCATGAACAGTGCTATTCCAGAGCTCAGCAATAAATCACACATTAGGCTTTAAAACGCACAAATGGGAGTAAGACGCTAACTGGTTGCCAGGTGGGAAATGGCCAACAAAATCTTTTTCTTTTTTTTTCCTTTGTAAATCTATCCTAATATCAGCAAATTAGATATGAAAGAAAAGGTGCCCAATATAAGACGTCGCTGGCATATGGAGGACTCACTTGCGCTGGCCTCGTTCTCTGCTTTTCTTTGTGTTCTGGTTCTGCCATCGATGTTTTGTGGATATTGTTGCATTCCAGGATGTTAACAGGATTTTACATTTTTAGCTAGCTAATGATGGGGGACTTCTGACTGGCGTATTCTAGCCCTACAGGGTATTCTGTTTTTGGTATTTATAAACATTTTCTGTCATACAATATGCAGTGAAAGCGATGAGCCTCAGACCTCTCGGTATGCAAAAAAGGAATGCTTAAAAATGGCAACTTTTTTTATTTTCTTGGTATTCCAGTTTCCTAATATTTTCCCCTAGTACTGTGTCGCTGCTGGCTGGTGAGCTGGGACATGGCTGCCAATCATTATCCCACACAGAGAAAAAGAAATTGCTGCCACTCAGATGGAATATGTATATATGTATTTTAACAAAAGTTGAGATAGGATTTTAAAAAAAAATGTACTTTGAAGTCTGTTTTGTAGTTTTAATTAATGCAACGAGGGTTTTTATTTTACTCTCAGTGGAGATAATCTTAATCCATTCACAGTGACCTTTTCTTGTGCAAATTAGCTATACACGCTTGTTTAAGCAAATGGGCCTTTGCAAGATGTCTCTTCCTAAAGATGGAGCTTATAATTGAAAATTGGCTTACTCCCATCTGTCTGGCCTGTGTGAGAATACAAACGTTGATCCGGACTTTTTTATATATAAAATATAATCATATACACACATACATACATACACATATACACACATACAAAAAATAATTGCTCTGCCTGCAGGCTACGGTTAAATTAGATTATTAGTGTTAGAAAATTTCAGTGCCACAAGTTACTGTCAAAATAACATCTGTCTGCAGAGTCCAGGGCGCTCTGGAGAACAGAGGGTGTCTAATCTGGATCCTTTTGTCTCAGACAAGGTTGATGCCTTTCACAGTTCCGTGGGTTTGCCAGAAGTGCAGTTAGCTAATAACAGGCTGGAAACTGTTAGGATTTGATGTGTGGTTTTGGTGAATGGTTTTGAGGTGATTGATGGAATCAGAAAAAAACCCAGGAGTGTCTATAAGCCCTTAAAGTTTTAATTTGGAGGAGCAGGGGTCATTGCAGCTATGTGGTTAATTGCCAAAATTGGGCGGTTTGTCCCTCTCACCATACCTGACAATAACCACCAAGTGAGTCATTGTAACCCCCGGTCCCTTTTTTAGTGTTTGCTTGATAAGGGAAGATTTCTTTGGCATAGTTCGGATATTTTTTGCTTTGTACAAACCTCTTGCGCAGAAATGAACACATGCATGACTTTGACTAAATCTGAATAGAAATCAGGGTCACAGAAGTGCCGCAACAATGCTTTGGGTATCAAAATATTTAATATGTTTGTTGTTAGAACTCATGCACGCCTGTTTATATAGAAATGGCTGATTATTGCAAAGGCAAAATTATTTCCTTCCTCCTCAGTTTCATTACCACTCTTCCCAGCTCTCTCCCATGGTGGTTGCTCCTGAGGATGAACAAAAAGGAGCCGGAGAGATGGCTGACACACGCGTGCACGGAGGGAGCTAGTTAACCTGGTGGTGAGCGGTCTTGGTCAGAGATTATTTTATCCAGATGTGTCTCAACAGCTGTTTGCATTTTCACGCCCAGTTACTCTAGGACTCACTGCTAATTGAATTTTCTCTTTTCTCCCCTGTTCTTGTTAGGTATGATTACCGTGAAATGCTGCACAATGCCACTTTCTGTCTGGTTCCCCGTGGCCGCAGGCTTGGCTCTTTCAGGTTTCTGGAAGCCTTGCAGGTAAGAGCTGCAGTTTAAAGCATCGGCTACGCTGGCTGCAATTCAGTGTGCAATAGTGAGGAGGTGGGGAGGAGGGAAATGTGTTTCATTTCCCTAGCGGACAGTAATCCACTTTGCGAAAGCCTCTATTCATACTTCTGGAGCAATTGGCAGCTTCTTCCCAGGAGGGGCTCAGCACTGAGCTCATCTGAAGGTTGAATTGCATTACCTCCAGGAAAAGGGTTTCCCTGGATGTGGTGAGGCTGAAAGTTTGGACCAGTTTAGAGCAGTATTTTACCAAGCTGTGAGACTTCCCGTGGGAGACACTGGCCTCTACAAGTAAGCCCTGGGGCAGTAAAAATAGCTTTTTGTTTTCACTTAGCCAAAACAGACTTGCTTATGCATTGCCTGTCTTGAGATGGTGCTTGCTTAACATGCAGAAGGTTGCCTGGAGGTTGTAAACCCCAGTCAGAAGCTTCACATGAAGGTGGATATATGCTGATGAGCTCACAGTGTGTCTGGGACAGCACCTGAATCCCCTTCACTTTTTAAAAACATTTTGGTTAATGGTCTCCCTTTTTTGCTGTTGGCCAGCAGCAGAGGGCAACGCAAAGGGGCTCCTGAGTCACTGTGCAGCGAGGCTTGGCAGCACAGTGATCAAGCCTGACACTGACCTACTCTGGCTGCAGCTGCTGTGACCTTTTTTTTGGCAAGCATCAGCTCAGCCCTGGGGTCCTGGATCTTCAGTCAGCCATACAGAGCATCTTGGGAGATGCTGCAGCTCCCCTCTAGGACTGGCATCTGGATTTCCAGGGGGGCTGGAGTGGAGGGAAGGGGAGGCTGAGGCCCTTCTTGGTGTCAGTGAGATAGCAAATGAGGATGCCTTACAGGGTCCTGCCTCCGGGTGTCCTTTTGCCATTTGGGAAGTGGCCCAGCATTGGCAGTAAAGCTGTTAATGAATAGCATCACATTACTTCTCTTCATCAACCACAAAATGTCCCAGCCACTATTAGAGAGTATTGTTTACCGCAATGCAGAGCAGGATTCAGGTACCTAAGTGTAGGTGTATAATGTCATTTTAGAAGCCCAGGGGTACCCTTCTGGCTCTCTGCTGCTTCTCCAGAAGGTCTCCAGTAGATCCTGTGTCATGTCTGCCAGCCTTTGATGGGTTTCTTGGATACCCTAGAGCATCCCAAATGCGCTGGACATTTAGGTTTAACCACTGAACCCCACACCTGCTGTCACATTTGAGATCCAAGTTCTGGACTGTGACTTACCTCTTTGCTCCTACTCAGGAGAAGATTAATAGCCTGCAAAGTGCTGTTCCCTCTCCAGCCTCTTCAGAGGAAGAAGTGGGACTGGCTTATTTGGGATGACGAGTCACTTCAGATCCTCCTAAAGAGCACTGCTCAGCTCTTCTCTCATCTGGGCCACAAGTCATGTAGCTTCTGTTAGATACATAGTCTCAGGAGAAGAAAGCAGGGAGCGTACCTCACTGTACTGGAACTTGGAGGCTCCAGGTCAATGATGATAAACTAGAGGCACTGAGGATTTTCCTAGCAAGCTAGCAGCAGTATTCACCGATTATGATGAATTCCCAATTTCTGTCTGGCTCCAGGTCATGTTGAAAGACGTAATCCACATTAGTGGAATGTTTTAAACATGAAAACACATTGCTAAGTGTTTTCTGGTTGGCTTTTTTGATGCACTAATGTAATTTCCTTACAGAAGATCACAATTCTTTACACATTATAAACACTGCTGTAATGCAGAGACTCGACCAGTCTAAGATCCTGTGTGTAATATACGTTACCAAGGAAGGTACAACAATCTGAAAAGTTCCCCTTTATACCATTTTTTGGGAGGTACAGGAGGGAATGACCCCAGTCTGGACCAAATTCAGAGCACTTAAGCTTGGCTTGATCCAAAAGAAACTGAACCAGAGCACAGGCTCGATGCAGATCCTCTGGTGGTAGGTTCTTGCATCACGTCCGGAGGTTCTTGCATTACATCCAAACCATATTGGATCTTATGTTGTGATCCGGCTGACCAGAACATAGTGGCGATCATTTATTTACGGAAATACTGCCCTATTTACTGAATATTCGCAAACGTGCTGTCTGTGCAGAGGAACTTGTACAACTCATAAAAGATTAAATAATTTAGACAGATCATACTGGTACGTAATAGATAATAAATGTGTATGCTTTTTGTTTGTTTTAAGACAGAAAGCAATTCTTATTTTTGTGGACAGGTGATGACAGATAAGTTGTGTTTGTGCAGTTGCCTCTGTTTGGAGAGTTGATATCAAATAGGATAGGGAATTCACTCCTTTGTGGAAAAAGTGCTCTGGAATTAAATATGATCTGTATTTTCTGTAGGGTTGTCTTGCAACATACTATAAAAATTGAGGGAGTTAGGTCCCTGCTGAATGGTTCACAGAGCAGCGAGGGTGGCCATCATTTTGTATTAAATTCTCCGGTGTTACATCTGCAGCATTTTAACAGTTCTGCCCTCGTCTGGCAGTGTAAGCACCAGATTTCAGATGCCGCTCTCCATGCAAGCCCCACCTTTCAGTGAATATGAATAAGCGCAAAATGGAAAAACGTAAAAAATTGGGCTGCCCTCCTGTGTACTCTAGCTTCTGGTGTTCTTTGCCACGTTGCCTCTCCTTCTGACCACCTTCACGAGAGCCGGCTCAGAGCTTGTGCAGAAAATGACAGTAATGGTGCGAACCTCAAAGCTTGCCCTAGTGGTCGGGTACCCGCTAACGGCTGCAATGCCTCTGTGTGCGTGCAGGCTGCCTGCGTCCCAGTTATGCTCAGCAACGGATGGGAGTTGCCGTTCTCGGAAGTGATTGATTGGAACCAAGCTGCCGTCATAGGCGATGAGAGATTGTTATTACAGGTAAGAAAAAGACCGTGGCCTTCAGTGGATGAGTTGATTATTGCTGCCACCATCTAAATGGACGGGGAAGATGAATCCAAAAGGTCAGGGCTGTAAAAGAACTTTTATCATGAAGGGCTTGTCTGTGTCATACTGGCTATGAACTCATTTAATATGACATCATTCATTTTTTGACCTGAAGGTCATTGCAGCCACCAGGCCACATTCTTAAAACACAGGAGACACTTCTATTTTTCCTAAGAGCATGAAATTTCTTCTGGCGTGGAGCACCTGGATGCCTCTCTGAGGCAGAGCTGTCCTGGACCGGGTGCTGCAATGAAACAGAAAACATTTGAAGGCGGATTCTGCTCTAGTCCTTCAGAAATGGTTTATCCTCAGGGGTCCCACCAGCGCTGTGTGTCTGGCTGGCAAGTACTGAAGGGACTCCTCAGGAAAGCAGGTATTTTCTCAGGCAGGAGTTACCACCTAACAGTTTTGTGGGAAGCAGAAGCTGTCCCTTTTCTGATGTCTGGACTATGTAGCATTGCTTTCTGAAGCAGTGTTCATGTCACTTATTGTTAATCTCCTTGAGCTCATGGAACAAAAGTGGGCTGAGAAGTTAGAAATTCCCTGCTACCTTCAGCATCTACTTTGGTTTTAAATTCACTAGATTTTTTTTTTTTCCGTTTCCCTAGTGGATTGTATAGTCTAAATACATTCTGTAGAGTATGTGGAGAAGTTGATGTTAGGAAAACTTCTTGAAAAAGTGGTTTCCCCAAAGTAGCATTTGATAAAACGCCATTGCCCAGCATGAAGCTGAGATCCACAAGATCTGGAATAGCCACTAAGTAGCCACTTAATCCTCAGGGGTCCCACCAGCGCTGTGTGTCTGGCTGGCAAGTACTGAAGGGACTCCTCAGGAAAGCAGGTATTTTCTCAGGCAGGAGTTACCACCTAACAGTTTTGTGGGAAGCAGAAGCTGTCCCTTTTCTGATGTCTGGACTATGTAGCATTGCTTTCTGAAGCAGTGTTCATGTCACTTATTGTTAATCTCCTTGAGCTCATGGAACAAAAGTGGGCTGAGAAGTTAGAAATTCCCTGCTACCTTCAGCATCTACTTTGGTTTTAAATTTCATTAGTTTTTTTTTTTTTCCGTTTCCCTAGTGGATTGTATAGTCTAAATACATTCTGTAGAGTATGTGGAGAAGTTGATGTTAGGAAAACTTCTTGAAAAAGTGGTTTCCCCAAAGTAGCATTTGATAAAACGCCATTGCCCAGCATGAAGCTGAGATCCACAAGATCTGGAATAGCCACTAAGTAGCCACTTAAGAGGGGTTTTTTTTAATGGTTGAATTTAACTCATTTCCAAAGTGGCAAGCTATTGTCATCCATGGAGAGAAGCCTTCAAAGGTACAGGTGTCTTGGCACCCCAAAAATGAAGTACCTTTGAAAATCTCATTAGATGCCTATTTACTTGTCTGAAGAAGTAAATATTTGTGAAGAGATGGCCTAGCAAGCCTTGCAAAGTGCTGCCTATTCTCCTTAATGTGATACAAGCTGCAAATATAAAAGGGCCATTTGATTTTTGCTTCTGTGGACAGCACATTTTTCTGAGCAAAATTATTCCTCTCTTTAAATAATAATAATTTGCTGATCTTCATGCTTTCTGGTAACATGCCATTCGTTCTCTTCACAGCTGCTTCCATATTGAACAGCTACTGCACCGTTATTAACAGTGTTTTTAAAGAGCTGGCAGAGGGCCTGAATGTCTGCTCTGGGAAATGTTTTTGTTATGTTACAGTTTTTCATTTCCTGTTTGAGAGCAGCTCGGATGTTTTTATTTGCATATTCTCCTCATCATAGCGCTAGGAGAGCTTAATCCAGCCTTTCTGCATTTATTTGTGCAGGGTGGTTTTTCCCTTCCCTCTACTTATTACTGAAATGACCTTTTATTAAGACGTCATCCAGTTCTAATAATTCCAGTGTAATCCTGCCAGATTAGTATTAATGCATCATTTTCCCCACCTGTCTTTCTGGACAAGTAGATTAATAACTAATAGGCAAATGCAGTTAAAATGGGAGCTCTGATTTTTCTTCCCAGCTGTCGTAACGGAGCAGGCATGAAGGCTTTTTTTTAACCTTGGCACTGCGTTTGCAGGCACTCGCAAGCACGGTGTGGTCTGTAAAATCATAACTTCTTGCAGTAACCTTCACAGTCAGAGCAGCCTTCCCTTTCAACAGGCGTAGTTGGGAATGAGTATTGATTTTATTTCTTGCTCACACATATGCACACACACGCAAGGTTGCACATAATGCAAAGAAATGAATGAGTTTCTAGAAAAAAAACTGGCCGTATCACAGCCGTATCACCACTGTGAAGTGACTTTGATCATGTGTTTGCTGTTGATAATGATCCCAGGTGTGATCAATACACATCCACGTACAGCCAGTACAGGTGATGTTCATTATCTCTCTTCTTATTGGAACTTACTGGAAAAATAATGAAAAGAAAGAATATTCACCTCAAAAGATGAAATTTGATGCAGTTATTTACCATTCTGGAATAGTGACGTGATCAGTTAGGAAAACATGTACTAATACATGTTTTTAGCTTCTATCTTTCATACTAGTTTTGCAGGGAATATTTTACCTAAAGACCTATATTTTACCTAAAGGGCCTATAGCAAAGGAACGTAAAGTACCGTCTTCGACAGTCTAACCATTTTCTTCTGTTCCACCTTGCTGTAGTGCTAACTCTCTTATAAGCTCAAATTCTCTATTATAGTTAGCAGTGTCTCTATGGTGAAGGGCTAAGAGATGAAGGTCTTAGAGAGCAGAGATTGTCCCGTCTGACACTGCACCCATCTGACACTGTGGAGCCGTGGTCCTGTGGGACAGCGTCCAGACCTGGATGCAGACAACGCAGTAAAGAATTTACTGATTCTTGTGGAAATTTTTTACATATAGATTCTTAAAATCTCAAATTTTCTTCAGGAAAATGTTTCATGTGAAATCATTTGATTCAGGAGCATGTGAAAGCAAATAATGATCACTGCCACCTCTCAATATTTTAGGAATAAGCAAAGTGTGTTCTGGTCAGGAAAGGGCAGGATGTGGTGGGGTGCAGGTAAACTTCCAAACGAGCTGGGATGTGCAAAAAGCAATACACAGCCCAGGTATATGCTTTTACAACTAATGATTTAGGTAAAAGATTTATGAGAAATGAGTGTCTGAGAGGAGTGAGCGAGCAGCTGTGTGGTGCTTAGCTGCCAGCTGGGGTTAAACCACGACAGTCGCCTAATTTGACATCACAAAAAAGTAGGCGCAAAAGCACAATTCTTCATTCCTAGAAAAAATGAAGACAAATCAGCAACATATCCTAGATGCCTTTCTAATGCTGTGAGTAGCCCTTGTAATTGAAGCAAACTGCAGTTAAATTCACTTGATAATATCAATTTGCATTGTCAAAGTGGTGTACTGGAGGCCTTGGTCAAGGTCCTAAGTTAAAGAATGACATGTACGTACATTAGTTCCCCCCAGTGTGGAAGAGGGACGTGGGGATGGGGAAAGACATAGAAGTGAAGCCCTCCCCTCCCGATCCAGTGAGCAGTTACTTTTTTAATGGTAAAGCATTGCAGCAGGACAATTTGGGTTATTTGTAAGGCAACTTATACCAGAATTAATGTGTTGATTTAATGGAGAGGGGAAAAAAGAAGCGGTGTTTCCCCTTGTGAATAACAGGTGGTGTGGGAGACATTATTCTTTCCACCCACAGTGATTAGTAAAATGCAGTTTGATCCACAGGCTCCCAAAAAGTGGAGTCTTACTTAAGATGTTGCTGTGTTTTCCTTAGGGCACTTAGTGTTGCCTTGCTGCGGTAAATGCAATTCCAGATCCCTTTAATGTATTTTGAGAGTCGGGATTATTGTTGGACTCTCAAGACCTGCAGGTACTAGTTTGTTGAAATACTGGTCCGTGAAAAGCTTTGTGCATGAGGGATGTATGGAGGAGCTCCTTACTGTGCCATGCCACAGCGCTGGGAGAGGGAGCTTTTGTTACCATAAAATAACCAAAAACTAAAAGAAAGCAGATTAAAAAAAATTCATATTCAGTACCAAAGGTTATAAAGGGCTGTGTCTCATTCGTTTTACATCGAGGCTTTAACTGTTGACACAGGCATCTCTGTCAGACAGGAGTGCTGAAGCTGTGCAGCTTGCTAATAGAGGAGAGGGCTTGTCAGCAGCATGTTAATTTGATGAAATTGCGTTGTTTTCTGAAGCTTCTGACTATATTACATCTTGTATTACAGATTCCTTCTACAATCAGGTCTATCCATCAGGATAAAATCCTAGCACTTAGACAGCAGACACAGTTCTTGTGGGAGGCTTATTTTTCTTCAGTTGAGAAGATTGTATTGACTACACTAGAGGTGAGTAAAAATTGTCTGGGACCTTGCCGAGCAGCGAGGTTTCTGCACCTGTCCAGCTGCTCCTGTCCTCAGCTGGCGTCAGACCTTGGTTTTGATGACATGCAATTGGTCACTGGGAAGAAAGCTCAGCATCTTGATAAGTTTTCTCCCCTAAGGAAATGCTTTCTTCATTATCGTAATCCACATCAGAAAACTGACACAATGAAAAATGGGAGCGACCGAACACATGGAAAAGTTGTCATGTGTGATCTTGCCTTCACAAGGCTTTATGGCTTATGAATCACTATTCCTTGTCATTGGTAGTGAATGTGTTTCTTTGAGAAACCTTTCTGGAATTCATTTTGGAAAAAATATTACTGTAAAGCTCTTCCTTGACCACTCCTGAACATTTTGATGCCTTGTGATGGGGCCATTGGTCTGGCTGAAGGAAAAGGGGGGGCTTGTAAGTCACTGTGTCTTATCTTCACACACAGGATAAGGGAAAGGCCTGATCATCCTTATAAAATATTAATAAATAATCATAATCAGACTGCTATTAAACAGGGAGACAGATGATCTCAAATGTGGAGAGAATCCTTTCTGAATTCAGAGACAGAGGAGAGATGAAAGGCTCTTTAGAAGTAGGGCCCAGGCTACAATTTCAAAAGCAGGTTTCTCTTCTAATTGTTTTGCAGTTTTCCACATAAATTTTTGACACACTTTTACCACTGAAAGTGGCTTACTTTGTAGGTGCAAATGCATTTGTCTTATGCTAATGCTTCTGTAGTTGCGTCCATCTTTGTGCACAGTTGTAAAGCTCCACATTTCCCGCTGTGCCTGCTTTCCCCTGAAAACTGCAAGTGAGTGCTGCTGCCTGCAGTACAGGTTGCCCGTGGCTGATCTACCTCCAGCTGCTGCAAGACAGTCTCTTAGGTTTTTCTGTGCCAGTGAAGAAAACCAGCCAGGGAACATTTTCAGAGCCCCTGGCATAGCTATCCTCGCAACACTCTCCTCCGCCCGGAAGAGCATGTCTTCATCTGTGCTGCCTGGTGGGAACTGGTCTGCATCCTCAAACTCCCCATAAGCACTGATGAGATAGCGATAATTATCACAGCCCACGCCAGGATCGGACTAACAAAGCTGGAAGACCATGTGCCAGTGCTCGCAGTCTAATTTACCCTTACAGAAGTACCCTTAAGGGCAATCAGGGTGCCTCATGTATCATCTGCCCCTTCCCTACA